AAACTATGCTATAAACTATGCCTGTCAAAGTGTTTTAGCTTAGACATTTCAAAACCTCAGTTAAAATCACCCCATTAGTTACAGCAACCATACAATACACCCATATATATTTTTGACTTGACCACTAGCACACTAATCAATATCTCATTGGCTTTTTTAACTAATTAAGTTAATTAATTAATTGAGCTGGTCGTGTAATTTAATAAATACGTGGAATGGCTGAGGGGAGGTTTGGGCAATCCAACTAGCAATCCAACTAGAGATCAGTAACTTTTAGGAGAACAGAAGAATTTTTTACTAGATTTTATTAGTTGTAATTTGGATATGTTCTAATGTTAAGCTGTGTTCTTTTGTTCTGAGCAAATGTGCACTTATTACCCACATAAAGAGCTTTAAACATTTCTTTTGACTGCCTAATACTTTTGCACATTAATGTATATTAGTTCATGATTTCTTTCTGAGTAGTAACTGAGTACCTGTTATTACATGGAGCCTTCAAGTAAAGTGTGACAATGTTTTAATATATGTGTGATCTGTATGGACAAGCAATTTATTAAAAAATGCTATAAGAAAGCTATTTTTTTTATTAATAAGGTAGAATAACTTATTTGTTTAGTGACTACGAAATAAGTACAATGGTGGAAATGTTCATTGAAGTAGGTACCGATCCTAGTCGATGTGGCACCGTAAGCACCCCCTGTCTGAGGCAAAGATAAAAAATAAATGATATTTACTTAGCAAAGGCCACATTCACATTGCAAGCCTAGGTTCTCAATTAGGATTTTCTGCTGAGATCTGATTTTTTGTTTGCCTATTCACATTATTCATGTTTTAAAAATGTGCCCAATATCAGATTCCATTATGAACTGGTCAGGTCCTGAACTGATCTGCATGTGCAAAAGAAAAATAATAATGAAATTTATTTGAAGAAGCACATTGGAATTCTTCTCTTCATGTATCTCATCTTGCTGTCCATGGCTTAGGGGTCACAGCGCAGGGTCAGTCAACATGCGGCACCCCTGGAGCTGGTGGTTAAGGGCCTTGCTCAAGGGCCCACAGACATAAGACTATCCATGGCACCTGCTCATCACTTCTCACAGCTAAAAATATCCCCCTAGGAGAACCAAAGTGGTCCACCCAGGCAGCTCCAGGAGACCACTTGCAGCCCCCCCCCCAAAAAAAATGTCAAAGCCTCCCACCTGTCAGAGTTGCGTGGCAGGCGAGCCGGAAAGCAGGTGAATGGAGCCATACTTACGGGTAAATGGGGTTTTATTGACGACGAAAGGGCTGACAGGCACAAACATCTACTGACACTACAGACTTCAATGACAGATCTGACGGGACTGAACTCGGACGTGGACTAAATACACAAGACAGGCTGGGATTAACTAGAAACAGGTGGGAACAATTAGGAGTCGACATGAGGAAATGAGGGGGCAGGGCACACACGAGGATCGTTCGGAGCTGATCGTGACAGAACCCCCCCCCAAAGGCGTGCATACCAGGCGCGCCTGAGGGGAGGCGACGGACGAGACGAGGGGCAGGAGCTGAAAAACAAAAGTAGAACATCAACGGGAAACCGGGAACAAGACAGAGACACAAAACAGGCACAGGGGCAAAAGCCACGACAAAACCTGACACAGGACAGGAAACGCAGACAGGCAGACGGAGAAGGGAGACACCAGGGGAACATAAGCAGGCGGATCAAGAGGGCCAGGAGTGAACAGAGGAGGAACAGAGGGATGAGGAGCAGACACAGGCGGGACCAAGGGAGGAGGCCGAAGCCGGAGGGAACCCCACAGGGGCCGAGGGAATGGGACGAGGGAGAGCCGGAGGGGACAAGGAGGGAGCAGGAGGGATCACCGGCAGAGGCAGGCAGGAGGTGGAAGCCGGAGCAGGTGGAGGGGAAGCCGGAAGAGAGGCCGAGGACCGGCACCGAGGAACCAAGGGAGGGCCCGAAGGCGACCGCCGAGCCGATGGCGCAGGCCCTGCAGGCAGCCACCGAGCCACAGCCAGGGGCCAAAGGGCGAGCCAGGGGGCAGGGCGGGCGGGACCCGGGCCCGATGCCTGTGTCCCCTTCCCTTATGGGACACTGACAGGCGGGGCCTCGAGGGGCGTCGGTCACAGTGGGGCAAGGGAGAGAGAGTCATCAGGGAGGCCCCCGAGGGGTCCCACTCCAGCTCCTCTTCCTCACAGGAAAAAGGAGCTGGGTGCTGGTTGTCCGGGACCTCCTCGGGGACTGGGACTAGTGCTGGGGGGACAGGAGTCTTTTCTCCATGGGAGGTGGCCGGCGAGGACGTGGGTGGAGTGGCAGCAGGTGGTGCCGCCTCATCCACGGACAAGCAGGGCTGGACGGGCGAGCAGGGCTGGACAGGCAGGACGGGCGAGCCGGGCTGGACAGGCAGGACGGCGGCATCAGGCAGGGCCGTGGGCAGAGTGGCAGCAGCAGGCGGGGCCGCTGGCCGCAAATGGAGCAGCTGCCTCAGGGTCTCCTCCACCTGGGCTAGCTGCTGGAGCGGGGAATCAGGGGCGGTGGTGGCAAACTCCCTCCGGAGCTGCTCCTGGAGCGGAGCTGCCTCTAGGGAGTCTCTCATGACGGGTTCCTCAACCACCCACCAGTACAATTCCTGCAGGAGCTGCTTACAGCCTCCAGGCAGGGCTGTGGCTCAGGAACCCTGGGGGGGGGGCTGCAGCAGGCACCTCGGGCGTGCGGCCAGCAGGGGGCGCCTCGGCGGACACCTCGGGCGTGCAGCCAGCAGGGGGCGCCTCAGCGGGCGCCGCCGGTAGGTCCAGAGCAGGCAGGACTGGAGCTGCCCCTTTAAGGGCTTTAGGGACCCGGGGAATTGCGTCCCAAGCCGTCCTGGCTCCCCTGTTGGCCAGGCGTGCCGGCCGGTAATGATATGCTGCCAGCGGCGGCTCCTCGGTGAAGGCGCCGGGGGCTTTGCGTGCTCGTGGGAGCATCGCAGCTAGGACGTCGTCCGAGAGCGGGTATTCCCCCCCTCACCTGCTAGGAGTGAAGCCGGTAAGAGAAGACACCGCCCTACGACGATCGTCGGGTCGGCCTCTTCCCTTCTTCCCCGTCGCTTCTTTCTCTTCCGCCGACCCGGACCAGAAGGTAGAGGCGGGGTTGCTTCTGACCAGGTGGGAGGCTGGAGGCATCTCTCCCTTACCTTGTCGATGAGCTGTCGTAGGAGGGAGCGCACTTCCGCCATTACGTGTGCTTCTTTGGTGGGTGTGATCCCCTGTAGGAGATCCCAGCTCCTTTCTGCGAGGGAGCTTAAACCGGGATCCCCGCGGATCTCTGGTAGCTCTCGCCAGTACTCAGTTTCATGCAACAGGGCGAGCCAGAGGTCTTCGGGGAGATCTGTCATTCTGTCAGAGTTGCTGGGCAGGCGAGCCGGAAAGCAGGCGAATGGAGCCGTACTTACGGGTAAATGGGGTTTTATTGACAACGAAAGGGCTGTCAAGGGCTGAGCTTTTTAAATTGGTATTTTAAGCGAAAATATTAGCACCAGTTGATCCGTCGGTTGGGTTACTCGTAATATTGGTATTGTACCAGCAGCTGATTAATTCACTGCTGGTACAATACCGATATTACAAGTATCACGTTTTCCGTAAAATGTGGTTTCTCGCAGTTGTCGTACAGAATCATGGGACATATTTGGTCCTCCAGAACGCTAACCGAACGCCATGTAAACGCAATAGCGTCGTTTTCCTCGCGTTCGTCGGGATTTGACGCCAAGAAAACGTTGCATGCAGCGTTTATTTGACGCCACCTGAACGCGTAGTTGGCCGAACGCCGGTGCTGAACGCCCGTGTGGACGCTTTGATTTGCTCCAATGAGCAGAAAAACAGTCGGCGCTCACCTGGCGCCACGAACGCCAGAAAAACGCCTGGTACAGACGTCCGTGTGAACGAGGCCTTACGGAGCTTGCAATAGCCTCCTAAGCTTTTTTTTATCCGTGCTTGTAACAGCTGGGCCAAACTTTCCTCGCACTACCTCCTTCCATTTAAGCACCAACTGTTCCAAAAGAACCGTTTTGTTTGTCGTCCAGTTTGGTTTTCTTTTAGAATCCAATGTCTTGCTATGAGTTTTGCGTTTGACCCATACAGTCATTTATACAACATGTTACAACATGTTACATGGTACAAATATTAGTGGAAATTGATTGGTGGTGTGCTAGGTAGATTTTCGTACAACCAATTAAAGGTATGATCACAGAACGGTATGTTGTATAAAGCTGTACATTAACGGTTTAATGTCACTAATATATTCACCGTGCAGCTCCTCTATTGGTTGAACTCAGTATTTAGTGGATGGATTTTATTTGTAGTCCTCATTTCACGACACTTAAATGCTGGCTCCGTCAGCACTTAGGAATTGGGCTTAGACTGCTGAAAGTTACTTTTAGCAGCTTTATATAATGCTCTTAGGTCCTACTTTTTGCTAAGTGTTTTTTTACTTTTTAAGTCCAAGTGTACGACCATTCTTAAGACCATTCTTAAGACCATTCTTAGGAAGTTTTATGCATACCGGCTCAGGTTTCTGAAATTCAATATGAATGCACCTAGTGTAAGCTACTTCTACAAAGAAAATAATATGGGGAGCCATGTGTCAGCTTCGGGATCCGGCGAACCAGAAATCAGGCGAGTGGCAGCCAGGAGTTCAGGTAACGGGGTTTATTTGGAGGCGGACGGACATCTAACAATGACAGATCTGGGGTACACTGACTTAGACACGGACTAAATACAAGACACAGGCTAAGGGTAACGAATCACAGGTAAGAGACAATCAGGGAATCACACGAGGTAACGAGGTGGGCGTGGCACACATCGGGAGCGGACGGAGCGGGGCGTGACACCATGCATTTGATTCAAGATTATATCAACCTGGGGGTGCAGGGCTGGTGATGGTAAAAATGATCTGATTTCTTGTGGTGCATGTTATGCGAGCTACTCATTGACTCCCTGCAGTCTACTAGTGGCTTGCAGTCAAGAGGCATGGTGAATACACTGAAGTTTTTATTTGTCACATATAAGTTTCACACTGTTCCAGGTTCTCTAAGATACAGTATTTCTCTTGAACACAAATGAGTCGTGTACTTATCCTACATCTGTCCTGCATCCACCTCATCTGTCTTGTGCCTGTCGTACATTTGAAGGCAACCTAGGACAGGAGCTTCTCGTCTTCTTTTTTTCCCCACCCCCTTGAGATTTCCCATCTTACTTATGATATAGGGTGACCTTCAGTCTGTGAGGTGGCTTGTGTTTCCCAGGACTGGGCCTGGTTTCCCAAAGATGCTACACTGGATAAAGTATTAGGAGTACTTGGACATTTTAGGTAGGTATTTCACGTTGACTCATCAATGAAACATTCCTATGATTTGAAAAGAAATCGGGGAAAATAAATTGATGCAGAAAAGATTACTTTGAAATCACACAGAAGTACCATCTTTCTGGCTCGGTGTCGACACCCCTTGGGCTGACTTATTTTGGACAGACGACCCCGACCGGTTCTTTGTGGGGTTTGTGTCCTGCCTTGGGGTCTTTACTCCCTTAGTACTCATTTGATGCTTCTGTGCCAGCAGTTTGCGCTGCTCACAGGTTTTTTTGTAATCGTAGTAAGTGTTTAAGCCAGTGGAGATGACAGTCATGAAGTCTTTGACCTTTCCCATCAATTCCATTTCCTGTCTCTGCTTGGCCTCGTTGATCCCCACTTGCAGCCTCTGAATCTCCTCTTCCATGGCTGCTTCCTTGGCTTTGAAGCCCATAGCCATGAGCTCATTCTGCTCCTGAAGCTTACTCTGTAGAGCAAGCTCCATTTCTTGCTGAGCTTCAGCTGCCTCACGTTTCATTTTTTCCTTTTAATGTCACAGAACAAAATGTGTGAGTGACATTTCTGCTGTGCTCAGCCATTCTTTAGTGTTCCTTTAATCCCACAAATCAGAATGTTTGAGGTCTTTCGTATCTTTAACTGTTTGATTATATCGGTTTAAAATAAAAATTATCTACAGAGTCAGGAGCTCTAAACATTATAATGTATAATGTATAATGTGACTATACTAAGTTACCATCTAATCTGATATGAAATCCCTTCTACCTTTTCAGATTAAAATATCTCCTTCACAAAAGACAAATAAGATGAATGAATGTACCTTCAGATGATGTACGGTCTCCTGGTGACGTAAACTTTGCTCCTCAAGCATCTGTTCTGCTATCTGACGTTCTTGAGTTTCCCTTCTCTTCTCCTGCTCCAACTTGAGAGATCTCATCTCCTCCTCTGTTACAATACAGACAAGAACTGGGAATGACCTCACTGGGAATGCCTCTAGAATGGAAGAAATTCATCTGTGCACTGGCCAGTTTTTATGAATGTGACAGAGTGTGAGTTTGATGGCTTTCAATATTCTTTATGAATACCGGGAAAGAATAATATTGTTAAGGATTTGCTTTAAGAAACACAAAGACAAACAGTCACTGTGTAAACAATTTTCTGAAAAGGACAGTAAATACACAAATAATCAAACCATTACAAAGTGAGATATGAAGAATTTCATTTTATTGATCGAATTTGCTGATAGCTACAATGAAATCTGTTACTTCTCAATGAAGCAAACTAGGAGGGTACAAAGTTATTTTTACTTTTTAAAAGATTTCTTCATTAATTTGAACTGTAAGACAGTGCTGGCTGCCTGGATGGCTGTATTAGCAGCTGGCAAGACATAATCTGTAAACCAGTTGCTAGAGTTGCTTTGTTTGTCTTTCTCTGCTTTCAGGTTCTCGATTTCTTGTTTCATTACTTCTGCCTTCTCCTTAAAGCCTTTCTCCATAAGATCCCTCTGCTCTTGAAGTTTGCATTCTAAGGCCTTTTCTGTCTCCTTCTTTTGGCAGGCTAATTCATCCCCCATTTTCTCTCTAAGCATCTGAAGTGCCTTCTCTTGGTTTTTGCGTTCATCCTCGAGGGTCTTCTCCATCTCTAAACGTTTCTCCTCTTCAGCTTTTGTCTGTTGAGCCAGTAATGCAGCTCTCTCTCTTTAATCTGTTCATTCAGTCACAACAAAGGGGAGGGAGGAGGGGAATTGAATGAATAGGCAAAAATTTCACCTCTAGTTTTAGATAAAATACAGCCTGCGATTTCCTCCATTTATTCATTGTTCTTTCATTCTGTTGGGGTCAGCTATTTGAAAAGTTAGCTTCGATAACTGCTAATCCGCTAACTCCAAAGTTTAATTTGACAATGCTAAACCAACAAACCGCTAAAAAATTTAGAGGGAGTTAACCATAACCGCTAACCACTAACTTTTATTCTATGAATTTAGCTTCAGTTTCAGTTCAACACTGAAATCTTTAAAAACACACTTAGCTGAAATTTTAATAAGTTGTAGCTTAGTCACAGAGCTTTCCACAAAGGCAGATCAAATGATGATCAAAGTTTACGCAAATAATTAAACAAATTTAATGAAACGGTAACACTTTACCGTTTATGGTAACACAAGGCACAAATACTTAGTAAAAGCCCAGTTACTACTTAAGTACAAATCATGTACAAATCATGAACAAGTATAATTACTACTTGAAATAAAAGGTGCATGACGATCAGTATTTCACTTGTGTTCTTCATTACATGTTCCTTCAGTAGTTCTGTCAGTAGTTAACGAAGGTTTACAGAATTATATATAATATAGCCTAATAATGTATAGTAACTGCTTGAGATAAAACATGCAATACGATTCATTAATGATGAATTAACATGATATCAGTATGTAACTAAGATTTAGTTTTTGATTTATTAATACATAATAGCATAATACTATATTATTTGTGCCAAGTGTAGTGTCAAGTGTTACCAATTAAACATTACTTTACAGTCAACAATCAGCAGTTTATTCTCTGTAAACTTGTAGACTCAGTAAACTGATTAAAATATGCTTATAATAACGTACACTACAGCTTGCAGCTGACACTGTAAAGGCTGATTTATACTTCCGTGTCCAGCTTATACTGTAGACTACACAAGTGGTCTACACTGTTGCTAACATTTATGCTTTGTGCTGGTTCATTCCTATTGCGATGAGACTTGACAGAATTTGATTCAACACCATGCAATTCAATGCTATACGATGAGATGCTATGCAATTCAATATGGTACAGAATTTTGATTTTATTTGGTTCTCAGCAGATAGCAAATAATAATATGCTGAGGCGGCCATGTCCTCTCATAGGCAAAAAGGTATGAGTATGTATAATATTATAATATTTTATATGTATGGTCCATGTACTGCGAAAAGGTTTTAAAGTTTTAAAATAGTCAAAGAAAATGTGTTAAAGTGTAAAAAATTACATTATAACACATTCAAAGAGAGAGATTTGTCAATCAGAAACATCTGGGAAGGATAAATGCATAGAACACTGGCAAATTGGCAAGTATACGCAGAGGATGTCAGCAGTTTGTACATATTTTAAGATAAGGGACGACAACAGAAGTAAAGCAGACTGTAAGCACTGTTCTGCTAAAGTGTCAAGAAGAAGAAAGGTCAGCACATCATGTAACAGAAGCAATTTGATCAATCATGTATCCCTGTAACTAAGGACCGCAGCCATTCCACGTGTTTGTTAAATTTCACCAATAAGTCAATCTGCCAATTTATTGATTGATTAATATTTTAGTGATCAGCCAAACATGGTATGCTTGTGGTCCAGCCAACAAATACATGGGTACTTTGACTGGTTACTGTAAATACTGGGAGTGACTTTAGCACAGACTTAGAAATGGCTAAGCTAACGCACCCTGACAGCCATAAAAATCAGTGTTACACTAACATGAAGATCATTTAAATATAATTTTCTTTGACTGCCTCAGACTTTTGCACAGTTCTGTACATAATATGTATCAGTGTGGATAAGCAACAGTTTTAATTAAAAAATATATCTTACTATTATTATTATTCTGGGATATCCCCAAGGCGATCTCCTATGTTGGGTGAAGGCCAAGACATCAGGACAGGTTTATTAATGTGAAAGGAATTTCCTGACTATGTGGCTTATGTTTATTATTGTTGCTTTTTGTACTGTAATATATGTCTTTGGGTGTAAATGTCATTTTTGTATAGTGCATGTGGCAACTGCTTAGGAAAGAACAATGGTGACAATGACCACTCTATCCATTTGCCAGAGGTGATGTATTTCATATGTCAGATCTGTGTATTTGCATATTTTACCTGTTTGTGTCTTTTGTAGGTTGTATGTAACTGGTATGGTTATTATTATTATTATTATTAGCTACATTGATGAGAAAATTCACCAAAAGTTATCTGTGCTATATACAACCCAGTCAGCTCTCAGGAAGTGGGCCCAACTGAAACTTTCAAGATTAGCATTTTGCACAGGAAGAAACATTTTTCCCCCATTCATTTTTCTGCAACTTCATGCTGTTTCTGCATAGTTCATATACTGTATAGCCATAAACATAAAACATAATGGTATAATAAATGAATATGAAAATGAGAATTAAATATTAAATAATAGGTTAAAGAAGACAGAATTACAGGCTGAAACAAGCTGCTATAAGTGGATAAAGAAACAGACTTCAACAACAGGTCCAACATATCTCTCTTAAGCTTTTGTACCAGTGTCTGTGATCAGAACAACTGACCAAAGCACTTAACCGCCAGTTGCAGGGGTGCTGCACACTGGCTGGCCCTGCGCTGTGACCCCCCAAGCTTACTGTCACCTGTATTCATTTCATGGAGAGTTAGACAGGATAGGCAAGTAAAGAGAATTTCCCCAAGGGGATGAATTAATTATCTATTCTATTCTATTCTATTCTATTCTATTGCTGTAATAAAAACTTACCATGGATTTTCTTCTCCTTCTCCGTGAGTTGCTTATCAGCCTGCATGACTGAAGTAGATTCTGCACTCTTTTCCTTTAGAAAGTTCTCCAGGACTTCTTCTGCCTATAAAACCCATCAGGACATGAAAAGATCATAACAGACAAATGGGCGTAAGACACTGATACCCTATGGTTTTATGACTTGTTTTTCCCCATTTCAGCAATACAGACTGTATTGCTTTGCATATTCAGCATGAAAATGACCAATTCCAGTAGATATAGATCAGATTTTGAAAGACACAAAGCACATGCATAACAGCAAGTCGTTTTGGGTTGTAGACAGTTTTATCTGTAGTTCTTACCTTGACTCCTTTGTTGGGCTTTCTGTTGTATTCATCCAGTAAAGCTTGGCGGTCCACACAATAAAGCTCATACCCACTTGATTTAGCATAGGACCCGTTCTCCAGTTTCATGGCCATTGGCTGAGAAAGCTGTGAAAGCAGCTGTCTGCAAAGTTCTTCTGAGGCTTCCTCGTTTTCAATAAGAAGATCAGCATAAGCTTCATTGATAGTTTCCTATGAACACAGCACAGATTCTGTTGTGGTTTACATTCTTTCAGCAACCTTAAATCAGTATCATAAGTTGGCTGGGACTGAAACCTACCAGTAGTTTTTTCATGTATTCTCCCTTCTCATCCTTAAAGGATCGGCTTGAGAATGCTTTGATGGCCTGGGAATCCCAGTGTCTGTGGTGTTTGGACATCTCTTCAATGCCTATTGGGAAGGTGACCTCCTCCATGCCATTTCTGTACACCTGCAATCCTTCCTGCACAGCGGCCTCATTTTCAATTTGGGTCAGGGCCACCACAGCATTCTCCAGACAGGGAACACCACCACTAGCAATGGTCTCCACGTAGGTCTTTGTCAATTGGCCAAGCACTAAAACCAAACAGCAAGTATGTAAATCGCGATTATTCAAAATCCATAGTTACTATGTAATATCCACTGGGAGTTAATTTAATCCAAAGACTTTTGCCCTCCAAAATATTGGATATGGTCCAATTTAGAAATCAGTACCATCTCTTTACATGTAAAGCAATATTTTAAAACAGGAAACAGAGCTACGGTAATTATGAGTGTTGACTGAGAGATCGTAGACTCACTCCTTCCTGTGACTGGAAGTCCACCTTTCACTCTTTTTACTAGACTTTCCTGGTAGATGTAGTTGCAGAACATAAGAGAAACAGCCTTAAATGATGAACTGAGCTGATTTTCTTCAATGGACTCAAGGTGGGCCATTTTATCTGGAGCGGCTGGGGTTTCAAACACAAAGCATCTTCTTGTTGGGAAGTAATTCCGAATGCACTCTCGAGGGAGGTTATAATCAACTGTCTTCCTGTCCCTTCCTATACATAGAAACATGTATCATGACATACGTATATCTGTATATTGGAGCATACAGGAGGTAGTCTAACAAACATTATACCCAGTGTGGTAGTGGTGTTTTGGTAGGTGGGCATACTGTTATACTGTATTATTGCATTTCTTCTGACTGACATGCATTTCTTACAATTTTTTGGTGGGTATACAGTAAATTCATTTTTTCAGAAGTTGGTATATGAGGTATACGTGCATATGCCCATCACTACATCTCAGGTCTGGGTACAGAGAGGCAGAGATACTCCATGTTACTTTAGAAACTGCCACGCAAATTTGGTGGTGAAGTGACTGGAGGCTTGATTTTGATTTGTCGTTAACAAGTGGGGTTGAATGCGTTAGCCCTCACAACATCATTTAATTGGTCACATCACATCTGTACAGTTGTATTTAGGGTGACCACCTAATCCATGTCAGGAGGGACACTATGAGCTAC